GGGGGGGGGGGGGGGGGGGGGGGGGGGGGGGGGGGGGGGGGGGGGGGGGGGGGGGGGGGGGGGGGGGCGGGCAGGTCCGGTGCTCGGGCGGCGGCGGCAGCTGGATGCGGTGCGAAACCGAGTGTCCGCGGCGGCGCGTTTCATCCTAGAGTACTACGCGGAGACTACGGGGAGAAGGCTTGCCGATGTGCTACAGGTACATAAAATGGTGTTGGAGGATCATGTTTTTTTTGGCGGGAGAAACCTGCAGTGAGAATCGCACGCTGCAGGTGGTCGCGGGTGGGTCTTGCAAAGATGTAGAAGCACAACCTGCAGTTGGTGCGTGGTTTTGAGGTGCTGGTGACTGGTACAAAGTCTCTTAAGGGATATTTATGGTACGTGGTGGGTTTGATTGACTAGGTCTCCTTGTTTTTATCAAGTACTCTCTGGTCGACGAAGTCGATTTCCACCTTCTTGAAGACTCCTCCGGTAATACTCCTGCGGTCATTACCTAGGTACTGTGCTGTACCGCACCGTTGTTTACGCCTGTACCAATGACTTGACCTTGGGTTTCCAACACACTCTCTCTCTGTCGATGTCTCTCTCTCTGGTTGACGGTATCAATACCGCAGGTGGGCCTCGAGGCGCCTCCGGGGGGTGCTGGCGATTGGTTCTCGGTCGAAGAGCCCACGGGGGTGGGCGAAGCTGTCCTGGACGCCCTGGAATTGGCAGAGGACAATGTCAAGGTACAGTAAGCGTGGGCTGGCAGTGGGAGTAACCGGGAGAGCACGCGTTGCCCGGAACTGACTCCGGATTGTTTTGATTGCGCTTTTTTTTTGTCGTGTTGCCTTTTTCCCGTCATGTCTGCATGCCTGGCTATGCTATACTTCCTAGGGACTCGTCAGTACTTTCAGTATTATTCTCTGCAACCCCCTACCGTCGTCTTTTTATGGGATGGTCCGTTGGGGTGTCCTACCGGTTGGAGACCCTGACGTCAGGCAGAGTGTACCAGTAGTATTTTTTAGTTGTGATGAGATGAAGCTTGATAAAAGCGGCTGTATCTCCGTGGCCTACTTGCCTTGATGTGCGTTTGCGTTCCAAAAGCACCATCCTTTCAGCAAGACTTTCGGCTTCTCCTTCCTACTCTCACGTGTGCTCAGGGACCATAGGACCATACGTAGGAGCATCAGGAAATTATTGGGCACCTCCCTTATATTTTGACATTCTCCGGGGGCCCCCGACCAACAATCAGAACAATCACCTAGCTCATTTTCATGAGAGACGGACGTATGCATATCCCAATGCAATCAATCTTTCTCGTTTACCATGGAATGGTTTTATTCACGACTCCCAGAGTTGGAGGCATTCCTTAGCGCGTGTGCGCGTGCATGTGCCTCATGTTTTCGCCCCTATCCCTTGTCGAGAACCTCCGAAGCACAGCGTGTTCTACTTGATGTACGGTATATCATAAGGACTCGAACATTTGTTGGTTTACACGTTCAGACGCCAACCATCGTTCCTTGCCTCTTCCACCACCTTGCGCACATGCCACATTTTTTACCATGCATATCCATCGAACTTTGTTTCATCTTGTTGATTTCCAGGAAGTTTGCGCGTTTTTGGGCGAGACCCGGTCGGGCACTGTGTCGGTAACGAGGTCTGGCGACAGGGACCTAAGGAGAGGGTCGTCCGTCGCATTGCTCTCTGGCACCGGGAGAAACGGGAGGGGTGGTATTGGAGGGGGCGGCGGAGTTCGGCGCGATATCGATCGCATTTTTGAGAGCAGCGCGGCCGGCGGCGGTGAGATTTTTAGTTTTGGTGGCGAAATCGCGGAAGAGCAAGGCTGATTGACCAAGCCAAGGAGGTGGAAGATTTGTACGCGTCAGGCTGTGGCTGATGCGGCGTTTGTGTCAGCTCGACAGAGTCGTGCAGCGCCTTGGAATGAGGGGGGGGTTGGTGGAATCTTTATATGGCTGAATGGTTTTGTGTTGATTCTTGGCGGATGGCCCCCACGCCCCCGTGACTGGGCTAGCGCGACGTAGGCATGCCCCATGCCCCCCTGCACATTTTCAGTTATGTATCGCCGACACGCAGAAGCCGGCAACACATCGAAGGCACAATAGCCAGTACCTTTGCTGTTGTTGAACAATTTGGTTTTTTTGGGGGGGGGGAGGGTTGGCCGTACTCAAAGGCTATAGGCTGTTCTTTGTAGTTCGTGGAAAAGCGTATGATCAATAACCTCCTAAAGACATGCGTACCTACTTCCTTTCTTGCGGTAATACTTGTATATACATCACTCCTCTTGCCGGTGTTTTCGACCTACAGTAGATGCTCGGACAGCTTGTTGTATCAACTATTATTAGGACGATACTGTAGTGAACAACTCCTCATCGCCCCCCCCTCCTGCCGACCGGATTCGCCAAATGAACGGTATAGGTGCCAGAGGTCCCTTGGGTGGTGCTGTGAAAGTGTCCTTCGCGGCGGACGCGATGCTCGCAGCGGTGTTCCGCGTGGCTCTCAAGGCGTTCGGGGAGCGGGCCCGGTTCCTCACCCTCCCCGGCCCTGCCTTCCGCCAGGTGCAGCTGGACGCCGACTTCCTTCGACAGGTGTGTGGTGTGGTGTGGGGCACGCGCTGGGTGCACCATACCATTTGCATAGAATCACGGCCGAATAGTTGTGTTGCCCATATTGGGCGTTGGGCGTGTCGCACCGTTCGGGGTTGAGTGCATGCCATGGATAGACAGACCCCATGGGTGAGCCTGTGGTTGCGTCGTTGTGCACGGCGACAGGTGAAGCTCGGCGCGCAGGAATCAGGCACAAAATTGGTTGCATGGGAAAATGATAGTCGAATTTTCGGAGGCATCGTTTTGCCTTAGCTGAGTAGTATCCCGCGTAAGTGCTGTTGTTCCAAGGAAGACACTCGGCGCATGTACACGAAACAAAGATCGAACGACCTTCCGCAAACGTGTTGATGATGCATCGACTCGTTGCTTTCCTTTCCTTCACAGCAGTGAGGTAGTGCACTGAAGCCCTCCTCTGCAACGTCCTCCAACGCAACCTGTGTGGTCGTTTGTCCGTGTCCCTCCTTGCGTGTTGTTGTCCTCATTGCTCATTGCTGTTGCTGTCGCCTCTACAGGCTCTCCCGTTTTACGTGGCAGAGAGCAACATGTTGTCGGCGTTGGATAACCTTTTAGATCAGGTGGGTGTGAGGAATATGGTGTAGGTAAGTACACAGCTGGTGTTACTCTTTGCGTAGGCGTCAGGGCCCAGAAGCACACATGCACTAACGTACAAGTCCAGTGATAGCAAACGTTAACTTTTCCGACCGGTGACACAGACGTGAAACGTATAATACCATGTATATTAGAGATATGCGATTTTTTGTATCTCTCCACCATAGAATAAATATGCAGGAGAGCCGGTGCTGGCAACGAGCAATCAGTATCGCCTCATGTTACCTGACTCTTGTGTCCGCGCATGGCTTGTGCTACTTCATGAACTTGCTTGCTTGTTGCGTGCACGGTGGACGTGCATGATCACGGCAGCTTTCGTGGCAACGCTTTTCGGCGCCATCTTTGGTACGATCCCGAGCATGAAATGCCTCCTCTCAATTAGCCACGCGGTACAATGCACGACACCAAAGGAGGGCTTGCTTGGAGTGTTTCGTCCTCTAAACATGCCAGCAATGAATTTTATCCCAACCCTACGTTTTCGTCTCCCAGCGATGTCTCCGGCCCTTGGGAGCGCGCCATAGAACAACTCACAGGATGGCCATATTCCCATTGTCTCCCCGCGTCGTTTGTTGTCGTGTCTGTCTCACTTAGGCGCTTCAAAGCGCGGCGGACCGCTCTCTAGACCCGACCCCGATGGATCCGGCTGCCGCTGGAGACATCGTTGCGCATGCCCTGGACGGATTTAACTAGAAGGAAAGCCTCGCAACACGATATCTACACATGGCTACACGCTGCTGCTGCTGCCGCTGCTGCTACTACTGTCAAGGCTACAGCAAGGAGACCCCCATTGATTGTCGTTACGTGCATGGGGTTGACGAAATCAACCGAATCAGACATTTCTCTGCTGCATCGGATGTCGGCTTCGCAAGGATGGGCGGTATTCTTGTCCTAACCCTGACCCTATTTTACCCAAGCTACTCCTTTCATCATGTCAATTTTTAACGACCCTTCAACAAGCGATGTTTTGATTGGCGGGTTGCAGACGTTGTTTGGCTGTGGAAGAAGCGGCATAGCGCGGCAATGGTAGTAGTGCACGCCTCCACTGGGGTCGGAATGTTTTTTCCTTTGTTGTGAAACCGTTTGCTTTGCGCATGGCAACAATATGCACATCCAGGTCTTGCTTCCGTTGATATGCGCCGCGAAGGTAGTGTTGCTGCACGTGTTCAGTGTCGCTTGCCAATTTCTGGCGGCCGAAAACGGCGGCATGTAGGAGGAGGTTGTATTTCGAGGTTTGGCAGACACAGACCATTGTAGGCGCCTTAAGTTGGTGAAGAGCCATGTTACGTTGAAAGAGTGTTTCGAGGTTATGTGATGGATTGCAAAGGTTTGCTCCGGAGAGAGAAGAGCGAGGCAGGCCTCTCGTTGCAGGTCTCTTCGTGGGAAGGAGGCGTCACCCAGGAACCAATTGAAGATTGATGAGCTGATATCCTGGCGTCGCACCTTTTGTACACGCAGCAGAGTAGCATCCAGGTGCTGCGGACCAGGGCACGGATTCATTCCAAGTGTGGTGTCCCGAGTTGTCCATGGGTTAATTATCCAGTACTCCTGTAGACTAAATCACCTTGTGCAACTTCGTGGCCAGCGCGAGACAGCTCTCTCTGCATCCCACACAACCACCACGTCGCTGATTGATATCTTGTCCGTCCCGACATCACGCGATGATTTCAAAATTGTGCCGAAACGAAAAACTCTGAGCTTGGACTTTTTTGGATACAGCAAATTCTGGATACACTGGTTGCCTCCCCTTGAACCGAGGAAGGGTGGATTGGTGCACCATACGCGGAAATAGACCTACCTCTATATAGATCCCGGACCCTCACCCACGGCCAGAAGACCGCATGGTGGCCGAGAACTGGGCGAGAACGAACGTGGCTGCGCCATGGTGCCGCGCTGTCGGAACGCAACAGAGGGAGCGCTGGAGATTAGTCTACATACACTAGACCGCTCGACCAATCAGCGGGCGTAAAAAAGCCATCAATAGATAAAACGGTCACGGTCACGATTTACCAGCTCAAAAATACATCATTTACAACAGATAGCGCCATACCACTCCCACGAGTCAAACAGCAAAGCGACACCAACTACTACACTCCAAATACATCATCAGTGCAAGACAAGAGGAGACGTCGCGTCTCGAGCATGAGATGCTGATGATTGCGCCGCATTTGGAGCACCGGTGCACGAACCGTTGTGCCATGGGCAGATCGGTCGGCAGCGGCAAGCCATCGCCAACTCAGGAGCGGCAGAAACACGGAAGAAGAAGGAGACCGCAGAGATGGAGCGAGATGGCGATGTTCGCTCTCTCCTTCAACAGGATACTCGTGACCGCTACATCGTTGTCGTTGACGGCAACGGCAGCCGGTAAGACTGCGGTGTGCCAAGGTGCCAAATCTCCCTCATCACGAGTGCCATTGTGCATGAAACGTACTCGTCATCAGGTAGCAGTCCTGGGCTACCCAGCTTGAGATACATTGAAACAGCAGGCCACGTATGTACGATACCTTGCTCTGTTGCCAACAAGGCCATCTAGCCATTTGTTATTGTTGTTGTTGCTGTTTTCACATTAAGAACCGTTCGTTGTCTGTGCCCAGTACCTTCGTACATCCACAACATGTCCATGTTTTAGTTTGAGCAGTGGCCAAAATCGGGTACACCCGGTCCAAACATGACCATAATCGGGTACTCCTACAAGACCCTGCTGGAAACGACCGCATGACACCATCTGATTGGTTGACGCCCACCCCTACCCGACCTTGACCATCTTTCCACCAAGTGCACCCGTGGTTACTCCCTCCCCCGGAGGGTTACCCGGTTTTTCTTTCCCGTACCCGAAAATGGCTGGGCTGTTCGGCCAAACCCATGCATCTCTTTCCTTATTGTTTCCTTTTATTTTCTTCTGTTTTTCTGTTTCTCTCTGTTTCTGTGCCAGATGGCCTTGTCTTTGCTTGCGTTGTGTAGTACCAAGGATTGAACCAAGGGGGTATACCTCTTTCTCTACGGCCCGTGATGGTGACTCCTAGTCTCAGTTGTTGCCTCGCATAGCGCGCAGAGGGAGTGGAGGACTCCAGAATATCTGTCTTTGATTTCTATTGACTTGCGGACCCCTCGGGGCCATTTGATTTGAGTGTACCTTTCTAGGGTAAGTTAGCCTGCGACCACGGGAATCAGCCGCGTCGAGTGTTGGATCAGTACGAACATACGAAGGTACTGGGCACGGTTTTTAATGTGAAGACAACAACAATAACAACAACAACAACAACAACAACAACAACAACAACATGCACACAAGTACACGTGAGCATTGCCTTGCCCTCGAATTCGGACGTTCTGGCGGCGGGCGGGGGCGGACCCACCGCCGGCGGTGGAACTTTCGCTTGGGGGAAACAGCATCAGGCAGGCGGTCGGTACAAATAATCGAGAAGAGCTGTGGATGAATGCCTCACTCACGAGATGCGACACACAGGAGACGCATCTAAAAACATATTCTCTGCTTCTGCTGCTCTCTCATTGGTGACAAACGAGCGGCCAGCGGTGTGCGTCCTACCCGTGATTGTGTGCATATGAACTTTCGCCGAACAGCCCAGCCGTTTTCGGGTAGGGGAAAGAAAGACCGGGTAGTCCTCCGGGGGGTGAGTAGCCAAGATCGGGTGCACCCGGTGGAAAGATGGTCAAGGTCGGGTAGGGGCGGGTGTCGCCAATCAGACGGTGTCATGCGGTCGCCTCCAGCAGCATCTTGTAGGGGTACCCGATTATGGCCGTGTTTGGACCGGGTGTACCCGATTTTGGCCTCTGCTCTTCTAATTTCGCTCCATGGTGTGATGAGATTTCCGCATTAAAAAAAAACACGTACACACACACACACACCCCAACCCCCACACAGCAACAGAGTGAACGGCGGAGGGCGATTTTCAAATGTGAAGACGACGACAACAACAACAACCACCACCCCACAGCCCACCCATCAAAGAAAAGGTTCGATGAAGCGCTTTCCTTGGCCTACCCTGCTCACGCACTGCCATAGATAATGTGCATGCAAAACACTGTGGCCATTTTTGCCAGAGACAGGTTACACCCGTACAGCACGCATGATTTGTGTGGGATTCGTAATGGCACGCAGCAAATCATGAAATTAGCCCGGAACCTGGAAACTGGTGACCGTGGTCGCCTCGTTGAGCTGTTGTCAACATGCATGTACAGATACATTAATATTCTGTCTTTTCACCAACTTTCTAACCCTGGCCTTCGGTACTTCCATCCTTTCTACGCAAGATGTTTCCCCGGGCGTGTCCACAACTTTGGCGGAGCGACATGAGCATGCGCGTGCGGAGCCGATCCCGAAACCGAACGTGTTTTTCATCATAATCGATGACATGGGGTGGAATGACATGGGCTACCAGAGCACCGACATGCATGCGGTCACGCCCAACCTGAACAGGTTGGCCGAGAGCGGGGTGAAGGTGTGTCGTCGTCGTCGCCGTTGCCATCGTCCATTCTTGATGCTGCTCCATTTACGGAGCCACCCCACACCTCTTCATTTTCAATGTTCGATTTTTCTCTCGTGTTTCTGGCCGTCCCTTACTTGCTGCAGCTGCCGCACTACAATACATCGTACACGACGCACCATACCACTTTCGCTGAGTTTCCAACCCCGCCCACGCCAGTGGCTCCCGCGGCTCTGCTGTCTGCTGTCACACACGTGTTGTCCTTCATTTCGGCTTCCCCTCGACTTCGGGACCCCAGAAAACCGAACGAAACGAGACATGCGAACTACTCCGCTTCCGGGGCGCAAATCAGGAACGCAAATGGCGTTGATACAACTTCCGAATTCTTCCGTTTTTACAACAAAAAAGTTTCCCTGTTTTTGGCCGGCAGCTCTCTCAGTACTACAGCATGTCCATCTGCACCCCGGCCCGAGCTGCGCTCATGACTGGTCGATACCCTGTTCGCTACGGATTCCAGTATGATGTCATTCATATGGGCGCACCGTGGGGTCTGCCTCTCACGGAAAAGGTGTGCGAAAACGCCTCAAAGTGTCGTGGAACTCTGGCTCGCGGGGGTGGGGGGGTGGGGTTGAAACGAATCCTGTAATCCTGCGGGAAGGACCATTTTATTGCACGGTGTTGTGGCCTCGCCACATTGCAAGAATGAGCGAAGCCGTTCGTGTAATCCATTGCTCTGTTGTCGGGAAAGGTTGGAGGTGGTTTTCAGACCTCTGTTCGCTGGATGCAAAGATCATTGACACCCGCGCGTTGCCACACTCCACGGAGCTATGATCATCTGTGCCGCATTGGATGTGTTGTGTCTGGCATTGCCGTATGTATGCCGCTCCTCTGTGTACCTCTCTCTCTCACACACACATGCACACAACTTTCCTCCATCTACTGGTCCATGCCACCAGCACACCATGCATCCTCTTGGTGCGGCACTGCGCAACGCGGAATTGACGTAGCATTCCATGTCGTCATCAAACGTGATGGCGTTGCCCGACCCCCGCCTCCTTTGTACGTGCGTTCGTTGTGTTGTTTCAGTTGTTTCCACAGTTCATGAACGACGCTGGGTACACGTCTCACATGGTTGGGAAGTGGCACCTCGGCTCGCACACATTCAACCACATGCCCCACCGGAGAGGCTTCGAGACGTACCTCGGCTACACGCAGGGCAGAGAGACCTACTGGACGCACGAGGTGTGATGCGCTCATAGTTGATAGGATAGGATAGGAAAGGAATATGTCAGCAACGAAAGGACGAAGACCCTCCCTTTAATTGCAACAGTACCGCCCATACTGTTCGTACTATGCGTACTATGCGTACTATGCATACAAGTTTTGCACAGCCGTGCACGGAAGTGGTGTGGTGTGTTGTCTGCTTGAATTAAGCCCACGACTACCGTTCTTCACGGGCAAGGTGCATGGTGCAAGCTTTTTGTTTTTCTTCCCTCTATGCCCCCGAATCTCAATTCATTTGGCGAAAGTATAGTAGAGCTCGGACTCTTGTAGCGCTCGGCCCGTAATTGATAGCGGCGAAGCCGTCCGATCAAGACGTTTTGAGAGTTATAACAGTGGGCTCACAATGCCACCAACGACCTCAGAATCAATAGCAATCAACCCACGAGGCGCGATAGCAAATTAGAAAACAAGCCAGGATGGGTCAGGATAGGATAGAATATGCAAATGATAGGGCACGAATGATACATTGCGACTCGATGAGATGGTCGGTGTGACATTGCTCCGAGGGAGACTGTGGATTGCAAGATGAGATAGGATACTTCTTTGTGTCTGATCAGAAACACAGCGTGTGCCCCCACCCGATACCGGCAACTCCAAATGAGGAACGTGTAGTGGAACGGATCCTTTCAGCCTCCCGTGTGGCCCTCTCCAACCTACCCAACCTCGCCGACCGGTGTGCCAAACATTTCGACTCGGCGCAAGTCGGGAAGGAGGTCGGCACAAAAACCACGTCCCTGGCAGACAAGATGCAGCAGGAAGGGTGATTTCTACTCAACCTGGCAAACTCGCTCGAAAAGTACCAAGGCTATTATAGGAGACGTTCTAGAATAGAGTATAGCAACCAGGTGTATCGCATCGTTTTGTGTCCGATGTGTGCCAGTATGTACGCACGGTACGTCGTGTCGCTTTGCCTGTTCCTTCCTTCCTTCCTTCCTTCCTTCTTTCGGTAATGATGGCATTTCCTTCCGAACATTCATCCGTTCCGTACCGGATATCCTTACACCTTTCACGATGCTCTGTTTACCTACTCCCCCGGCATTTTACTTGTAGAGCGAGTGTTGGTCGACACCGCCGTTGTCCTTGCCGGAAAGAAACAACACCAAGCATACCCACCGCTGCTTGTACCAACGGCAAACAGATATTTGTTCGAGCAGTCACACGTGTTGCTGTAGACTTTACTTGGTTCTCCTGCCCCCTTTTTCATCATGTCTTGGCGTCATTGTCAGGCCAACTGGCACTACCCTTTTTCGCAACGAGACTACCCGCACCAACAGCCCCACCAGGACGGCATCTTCTTCGACTTCGGGTTCGGCAACGAAACCGGCTACTATGACGTGATGCAGAAGTCACCACCCCCCGCTGGCGGCGATGGCGAAGACTCCTTTTCTGCGCGCTCCCCCAGCAGTGCAAGCTCATCTTCCGCGTCCCCGTTGCCCTCGACCCCCTCGTCCGGTTTGTCTTCATCTTCATCTTCCGATGAGGTGAAGAGAGAATACTCGTCCAAGATTTTCACCGACAGGGCGCTGGAGGTGAGACGTGAGACGTGAGACACATGCCTCTTCTTCGGTGTCGCGATGACGCCGAGCACGTTCGTCTCCTACCGACAACGAGAGATTTTTGAAGGGCTGTAGGTGAGCCTGAACCCATGGGTTCTTCCAGATTTTCGCCGATCGAGCGTACATGAAGTTGTTCGAGGGGGGGGGGTTGTCGTGAACGTGTGATAATCAGGGTTTGCGTCGGAATGCGTGGTACTATGATATGTAGAAAAACACGAATGTACCAGCATTTACTACACCAGACCATACATCACCATGCGACAAGTTGCCGTGATTCGACCGAGGATAGGATAGGATAGGATACTTACCTACGGACCTTGTGCCACGCACACAAGTTATCAATCATATCAATCAGCATTTTGCCACCAAGATGACTTATTGTGTGTTTCACGATGCGAGCTAACGCACTTGGCTTCTATGGTGGCACGGTATCAGGCATGCTTGTCTACTTATTTGAAAGTATGTTGAATGTTTTTTGTTGTTTCGCTTCAAAGCAGGAGGTGGTAATTCCTGTGATGGAAAAATAGTGCTCGTTGTTCGGATAGTTGTTCCTTCTGAAGGGACATGTACTCACTTCAACGATGTAATTTTACCCCCAACATCAACATTGACATCACCATCGACATCCACCGAAGCCACGGCGGTCATATGGAGGTGGTACTGTCGTACACTACTGCAATTTAGATGAGTAGGGCTATCTGAAAAACGAAATGAAATGGGTGATCATGCAATGATATTGCACCGCATGGCAAACGGGCAGTGCAGTGAGGGCCAACAGGATGCTGGAGGCACAGTACAGCAGTACAGTACAGTACAGGAGCATAGTACTTCCTGTAGCATATCTCTGACAAGTGACACCGACGGGATGCACTCTCCCCAGGGTGCATGGTTCCATGGTCGACTGACCAAGCGAAACAACAACCGAACCGAACATGCCTGCCACCACCGTGTTCCGCCGCAGATTCTGCAAGGAAGGATGACTTCTGACGACAAGCCCTTGTTCATGTACCTTGCGTACCAGGCAGTGCACGAGCCCCTGGACACTCCTCCCGCCGGTAATTATGTCCAGATAATAAAATAATTGATGGAATCATGAACTCCTTGTGACGTTCGAAGGAGCCATTCCGAACCACTCGCGCCGGATGTCCAGGGGGTTGGTACGATTTTTGTTTTATTCCATTTGTTTGTCTGTGCAAACTATCGAAGGTCTTCAGCAGCTCTCGTTTCGTGTCATGCGCTCAGGCAGCGCCACCGTAAGCTTGGGACAATACTGACAGCAGTGGATGGTGTGTTCGTTACCCGTCCCTCAGATGCTTTCAGTGCAGACGAATTGGAGGTGCTGGATGCCCTTAAAGACTCGTCGGCCTCGCCTCTTCGCATTGACTTCGCCAAGGTAAATACTGTATGTCACCAGTCAGCAATGGTGCCTTGGTTTGGGACACCCAGTTGGACCTGCTGGAACGTGCCGATTTTCTGTTGTCGCTCTTTTGGCTGAACTTAACGAGAACAGCTCAGTTTTTGTTTCGTGTTGCACCAAATCTCTTGTACAAGAGCAGGGACCCGTACCAAATATTGCAGCAATCACAGCAATGGCAACGATCGCAGCAATCGACCTTATTTGCGCACCGATCTCGACCGTCAAGAGAATCAAGAGAATGCGCAAGGCCATGTGACGAAAGGGCCCGCTGCCTGCTTCGTGCTTGTGCTGAGATGAGCTGCGTACTGTACGCGCATAAATTTGCGGGATTTCAGGTTGTTTGCGGGAGAGTAACAGAAACAGAAGCAGCTGGAAACTATCCATAGCTTGGTAGGTTACCCTTCGAGAGACCTTTCGAGACCTCTCGATATCCCTCTTTACTGGACTAGATTCAACTCTTTTGTCTATTCCATTCACCTCCTCGTACCGGGAAGCTGGCGATACGAGTGCGGACCACAACCTTCCGTGCCTTTCCTAACGGTACGGTTAAGCCCTTCATCCCTTCCTATGGTTGAGGTAGTTGACAAGGGAATGACATCTCAGGTTGTGTGTGTGGTATGCATATCTGCACCTGTTGTTTTGAGATTGGAATCTTGAACTTTTGTTGATATTTTTTCTTTCTCGAGAGCAACATGAGAACGGCCGGCTTTTTCTGGAGGCATGTGGGAGAAGATGGCGCCTGCTTTTGTACAACCGCAACGAAAACCCGCGAAATGTGACAGCGACAGCCTCCTAGGTCTGCTCTTACCTTGTCATCACCCAGCAAAGGTGTGCAGATGCACACACGGAGCTTGACGAGGGCATCCTCGGGATCGATCGATCCGTTGTCCAAGGTCTCATTGCAGCGAGGCCACAACAGTAGTTAGGCCAGGGCGCACACGCTCCGGTGCCGAACGAACGCTCGTTCGTATGTGTAGCAGACATACGATAACAACCACCAAACCTCCGCGCTCGCCGCCTGTGTACCGGTCGCTGGTGGTATGTATGCACACGCTCAAGGTGTTGATGTATTTGGACAAGAGCATTGGGCGCCTGGTGGACTACCTCGAGAGAGAAGGTTGGATGGACAACTCCATCATCGTCGTGGCCAGTGACAACGGGGGCTGTCCCAACTCAGGGGGAAGCAACTTTCCGCTGAGGGGGACCAAAGCCTCCTACTGGGAAGGCGGTACCAAGGTAACGATTGCAGCGCCCGTACGGGGCAGTTGTGGATGTTCCGGGAGGGTAAGAAGGAGATCGTTTCGTATGTGTGCAGACACTAATACATGAGAGTGCGGTGAAGAACACAATTCATAGCAGGAACGTATCACCGAGTAGCTTCCGAAAGCAGAGTGTTTGAGTGTCTCAGGTTGAGCGATGGCGAATGGATTGACGGGACGTACATGTCGGGCGAAGGTTCAGCTGGCCGTGCTGTTCATTTTCGCACAATGAACTACGGGGACCCGAACAGATCGAAATATAGCTTTGAACTTTTCACGATTCCGTGTCCTTCCAGCCACGTCTATGGGCTGCTCTACCGCACGAGTGAGAAGCGAATATTTTGACACTATAATAGGACAGCAGGTCGCAACTTCCACCCTGCTACACTAGCTTTGAAGGCTGATTCAAGCTGTAACTTTAATTTTCATTCATCCATACACGTACACCGCCTCGCCATCCCGCACCCATACGTGTGTACACCATGGGGCATGTTACGCATGCCGGCGATAGGTGCCTGCCCTCGTATACTCTCCCAGCCACATCCCCGAGGAGCGGCGGGGTGGGCAGTACGACGGCCTGATGCACGTCACTGATTGGCTCCCGACCTTAACGGCGGCCACGGGGAGGTAGGTACAGATAGGTGTGGCAAACAATCCTTGGCAGATTCGTCAACGGCTTGTTTTTTTTTTGCGGCTGTCCTTTTTCACACTGGGACGCAATGGACGAGAGGATCATGCTTCGGAGGGAGTTGTGACGTTTACTCTCTGCCGCTGAAGGCAGTGACTGAATTCCGAATGAATATTGAATGTTGAGCTTTTGCAAGCTACGAGAATGGATCGAGAATACTTATTCCTCGTTGTGCACCTTCCTGCCCCGCAAGAGGGAGGAGCAGGACACCAACCTATGGAAATTCGAGACAGTTAGCCAGTTAGTCGCCAAGCTTGACCGCAATAAAGGGAGCCCGGAGACTCACCTCAAGGGCGGGATCGGTCTTATCTTGTCTTCGCCGCTCACGAAAGCCTCAAACTCGCCTCCACACCTGGCCCTTGATGTCGACACTAAATAGTGCAGCATGCATCCTTTGTGCCATGGTACTGCTGCACGTCTTCATGTCTCGTCTGAGACAGCAGTGTTGTTGAGAGCCACCGGAACCTGGACGGCGTCAACCACTGGGAGCACATCATCGACGTCGACTCTGCGGGGTGTGGTGCGGAAGGTGGTAGCAGCAGCAGGGGCAGCAACAGCAGCTACAGTCCCAGGAATGAGATGCTGTACAATTTCGACCCGTACTTCATGGGAGCGGAGCGTGACAGACCGTGAGTTACCAATCCACTGCACCAAACACACGCGACAGCGACGGAGATTACGTCCTTGTTGTACGATCGATGTTGACTCTCATCAAGGAACCTGGAACTTGGAACTTGCCAGTCACGTGAAGGCTGGTCGTCAAGAGCTTCCAATTGTTGACGTAGGCTTTTACAAGCCAAGGGTTCTTGGCGCTAGCCACTAATTTTTTCGATGTGGTGTTGATTATGGTGTTGTCCCGATCCCTTACATGTATTCTCTCATTTTCTCACGTTTCGTATCCAGGCTCCCCGATCCCGATATTTCCCGAGCTCAAGGTGCTTTCCGGCAGGGGCAATGGAAATTGCTCTTCAAAGTGTGCTGTTTGGGCCACTATGCCCTCGAGACTGACACTTCGTTCGCGGTACGTACATCTTTCATTAGCACTGAAACGAGTTGACAGATTTATTGCTGATTATGTTCTGGCCATTCGTTGGCCTGTTGTTTTGGTTGGGTTGTAGTGTCTGTGCCACCCAGAAAGGACACTCCCTGAACGGTTGCTAGCCGTTGTTTCTGTTGATGTTGTTCGATCTGAAGTCTTCGTTCTCGAACCCTCCTTCTTGCGCACTTTACAGAGCTGATCAAGAAACGAAATACGTTGAATCATCCTACGCACACAACTTCCTACCGCTTATACACAAACACAAGAGTGCCGGAAATTCAGAACTCCAGAAAGAACTAGAAGGCAGAGGTGAGAAACAGCCGAAAACGATCTGATGCGTTGTCTACATCGCCCATCACTTTTAAGAGGCTGTGAGTCAACATCAAACAGTACCATGGATGCCCCAATATGCCTCATACTCATCTCTTCCGTACGAATGGCATTGTGCTGCACCATCTCGTTCGTGTGTTTTCAGATTGCTGTAAAGCCACAGGAGACCCCCCCTAAAACTTGTTGTTCGCGTTGCCACACTGGCGTTTTTTCCGTGTCGAATGAACCCGTTTCGTTCGATAGAATAAGATGGTGTCCAAGAGCGGGACGTGCCGTCATCATGCGCACGACAATCAGCAGTCAGCGGACCCAAGCATGCCAAGAGATGCCCCAGACTGTTACGAGTATGGGTGCGTGGACATCTGCGTGGATGTGGCCGATTGCAAGGACTGGCTGTTCGACTTGGAAAATGACCCCACTGAAGAGCACGACCTTGCGGACACCTACCCAGAGGTGATGAATGAATGAGCGTCGAAGTCCTTGGTCTCTTTCTCAGACCCCACGTAGCATTGTTGCGCCTTGTACTGCTTGATATTGAAAACCACGTTCGTTTTTCCCCTACGTGAGCAACTACGAACCAATTTGTCAAGGGGCTGGACACGCACGCTTTCACTGCGCAGTGCACTGTAGAGTATGTGTGCGATATCCATTTCTTGCTTGGGCTGGCTGTTGGTTTGGAGTTCTATTCCTAGATACGTCTTTCCTCCCTTGCTTCATGCCCTCGCTGCTAACTGATTCAATAACGTCGTTCTTCGTGGCATCGTGGGTCATGTGCAGGTTGTACAAAACTTGCGCGACCGCGTGTTCTCGGTGGTGGATCAGGAATATTCGGACTCGCTGTGGGCTCCCCAAGACATGACCGCTTACCACATCTGGGAGAGTCACAACTATTGGGTGGTGCCGTGGTTAGAGCCAGGACTGCGGTACAGGGCCGAAGAGGGAGTGGTCGCGTAAAATGATCTCTGGCCTTGGTGGTGGTGATGTGAGATGTAGTTCCGAAGCCGCAATAGACGGAATAATTTGTGGTTGTGGTCATCGACGGTGCTGTTGATAGTCGGTGGTAGTCAAGAAGTTGTGATATCCCGAGTGTTGTAATTGCCTTGATCTAGAACTAAACGCGACGGTTGATTGCCGAAATTTTGTTTGAGATAATCTCCCTCCCCCCCCAAAACGTTCCTGTGGTGGGTGCCTCCTGGAGCGTCCTTGATCCTCGAAGGGAGGTGCGGCATCTCCGCTACCTGCCTCACTTCCGTTGCGAAAACTGAGAATGTTACTCATTCTCAATTTTGAGATCGATCGCCGCCGACGTGTTGTCGCATGCCAAAAATCAACATTCGCTCTACAGCCGGGGGACCGATACAAGGTGGTCCCTACCTAAGCCATCAACTACATTCACGGTGTGGGTTAGCTTTTCGGGCGGCGATGTGGGCTTGGATGATACCCCGGTTGCCCAACGTCCGGGCCATTTGGTCTCTTGTCGAAAGATTGCGAACGCACGACGTGAACCTGACGCTTTCCGAAGTCGCTCTTGGCGCAATGAACGCCGGCATTTTCGGGCACACCATCTCCCCGAATTTCGACGTAAGTTCAGGCTCACGCCAAATGCAGACGCCCGAAAACAGCATGCAATCCTGAGCTTGGCTGGGTGGGTTAGCCTCACGTTATTCACAGCATGGCGAGAACTGGAACGAGCTCAGCATGTGGTGTTGTTCCTCCTGGTCACCACGCCCGTGCAATAGACAGCTTTCTCACGCACGCGTGCCCAACGGATTTCGCTAGCTTGGTGGCGGAGTGCATGATGCATGTTCGTTGCTCTTGGTAACGTGCCGAAAGAAGACCTCAGAAGGAAAACAACCGAAAAAAGACATGTATAGTGTAGCAGAGGCAGCTTGGCTGTAAACGGTTCGTTGGAATTGTTCGTCTGCACCACGGCCAGTGGCATGCGGGGTAGACGCAGATAAAAAAAATGTTCCCGACTAGATCCCCGCAAATCGGAGCCATCATTTCTACGCATACAACCTGGACCAATCATGTACCTCCGACAGCCTCTATTGTTTGCTGCTTGGATGCTTTTTGGTCTGTGCTGTAGCACGTCGTCACCGCTGGGCAGTCCCGTTGGGTGTTCAAAGATGTGTCCCCGAGCACGCCGGTGGACACGCGGACTTGCCTGTTCACGATCACTAGAAACGTGCGGAGGAACGAATGGGTGCGAGATAATGAGCGCCATGTTTCTCTTTCGTTTACGGAGTATTGGACTATTCCCCGAATCTATGACTGGAACCACGTCATAGCAGGAATAACAAATATGCGCTGCCACAACAGTCCTCAGTCTTTTGAAGGCCGAAAATACTCTTCTACCGTTGCTTTTTGGCGTGTACGAACAAAGTGGGGGTCGCGGATAGAGTCTGAGTGCACGTGTAGGGATAGTATCACTTCCGCGCTGAGGGCACCAAGCTGTCATCCCGACATGCTGTTTCAGCGGTGCAGGTTTTCATGTACCACTTTTGAATGCGTAAGGCAATGGCCAAGTGAAAGGTTATGTAGGCTATACCATGCGGTAGACAACCAGCAAATCACCACATCAAAGCTTCAGCACTTGGTATGATACATCTTGGTAGTTGTGGGTCCTGTTCGGAGTGCAAACAGACCTATGCTTGTCTCTCAACCCGCTTCCTTGAGTCTACTGCTGTGGAGTAGATGTCCCTGTTAAGCCCCAGAGCCAGTTAAGCCCCACTTTTTTTGTAACCGTCATAACTTTCCGCCAAATACATGGAACTCCAATTTTTTTGTTTGAAATTAGAAAAGCACACCATTGTAGCTCGCGTTTGAGCATCTGTACGCACGAATCAGCTGCGCCACTCCCGAGATACAGCGCCACAACCACCACCGTCGGTGGAAACTGCAAGGTTGGCGTTTTGGCCGCTCCTGTTGCTAAGGATGGTCAGGTCTAAGGTGGACCCAGAGCAGGCGCAGAAGGCCATCGAGGCTGTCCGCAGCGGCGCAATGTCTCTCCGGGCTGCTGCACAGGCCTATGGCGTGAACAAGCGCTCTCTCTCTCTCGCCGGTTGAGCGGTGGTGTAAGCATGGATGCAAAGGTTGGTCCAAGGACTGTGCTCACAGTCGAGGAGGAGAATTTTGTTGAAGATGCACTGCTGTACGCTGCTCGTCACTTCATCGGGATCGACCGGACCGCGCTGCAAGAACACGTGCGCCAGCTGTGCAACGACGGTCGGGATATCCCGTGGGATGCAGCAGTCAGCCCGGGGCGATCATGGCTAGACGGCTTCTTCACGAGGCATCCTGCGCTGTCGGAACGCAGCGCCCGCAGCTACGAGGCCAACAGAATCATGAGTGACGACGAGACTCGCCTGCAGACGTTCTACACGGGCTTTGGCGAGTTCGTTGACAAGGAAAAGATCCCTGCCGATCACCTGTGGCGCACAGATGAGACAGGTGAGGTCCATATAGAAAGGTGTTGCTAATGGATCTAAGCAGTAGGCAAGGGACACACACAACAACAGCAGTGCTGTAGTGCGCGGTGCAGCTGCGCGGCAACTTGCTAGCAGTAGGCGGAGTTATGCCGATATTTTTTTTCAGTGTGGATCGTTGGATCCGCCCTCTGCAACCCACACACCCCTGCAAGATCTATTCCACTCCCGCTGTAGACTAGACTAAAACGCACGGTTGACATACACTACAGNGTGGATCGTTGGATCCGCCCTCTGCAACCCACACACCCCTGCAAGATCTATTCCACTCCCGCTGTAGACTAGACTAAAACGCACGGTTGACACACACTACAGCAGTAGCACATGCCCCCTCCCCTTTCCCCGGCGCTCACTGTGTTACCGTACGCTCGAAATCACTCGAGTTATAGCAAGAGGGACGGCGGCATGAGGTGTGTGTTGGGGATGAAACAGAAACCTAGACGGGTTTGGCTGTGTGTCGCACTCTAGCGCAAGCGTGCGTGTGTTCGTACGCGGCTGCGCCTCTTTTCTGATGTGATTATTCTCTATCGCCGACAGATGTAGCCGTAGTCTAGCCTCTTCGCCCTTTGCCGATACCCCCTGGCTTACAATGCTGTCGTCCGCCTCCTCTGTATAAATAGTACACAGACCTAGAGAGAGCGGTACCAGGTGCGCCCCGACCGCGTTCCCTACGCTCAACGCCACCTCGGCTACATACCTTTCCTGGTCCAACATCTCTGTTTTGCAGGTGTAGCACTCCACAAGGCACCAAGCCAATGAAGGTGATTGCGGAGAGCGGACACAAAGTGGCTGGAGCGATGCGTTCAAACTCGAGAGAAAACGTGACGGTGGTGGTCACCATCAGCGCGGCGGGTGCCACCCTCGCCCCGTGGATCATCTACAAAGGGCAGCGTCTGCAAGCGGACNAGGTTCTCTCGGCCTTCCCGGCACGAAACGGCGGAAGGGTGCCCGCGAAGAGCGACATGTTGGGCATTCTTGGGGATGCTTGGTTGCGGAGCTTTTCCGAGGAACAGAACATATCATCCTTTGCAGCTTTGCAGGGGCAGGCCTTTGGCCGGTGGACGGGGGGCGGGCGATGGGTCGACTTCAAGGTGTAGGGAAGCGGAAGGAACGATCAGGTGCCCGCCCGCCCGTCGAGGACATCACAGTGGCGATTTCCGACAAGGATCTTGCTGACAACCTCGGCCCACGAACGGTTCGCGAGCTGCAGCAAAAGGGCCAGTACGTCAAGGGCATCCTTATCAACACGGTCATGCTCGGAACCTTCGTCAAGGTGAAAAAGAAGCAGAAGGAGCTCGCCATCACCCGCAAGTCGCAAGGTCTCCCGGAAGGAGGGGTCATCACGTGCGATGACGTCATGCAAAAATACCTCGAGGACGAACGCCAGAAGGTGGAGGCCGAGGAAGCTCTGAAAGAAAAAAGAATGGCACGGGAGATCAAGAGGGCAGCGAGGGAGGCTGCGAGCTTGGAACAGGGGGCAAACCGCGCAGGGCGTGGGCATGGGCGAGGAGGAGGGCGAGGCGACACAAGGGGTGAAGGCTCTAGTGGGCGGGGACAGGGACCGGACGGAGGCAGAGGGGGGCGGGGGCGGGGGCTTGAAGGAGGTCAGGGGGGGCGCGGGCAGGGGGGGGAGGAAGAGAGAGGGCGCCGGGCTGTTGTTGGTCGTGGGCGTGTAGTTGGCCGAACGGCGGGCGGTAGAGGGGCGGTGGGTGGGCGGGGAGTAGAAAGTCGACCCGAGGCGGCGGCCGGCGGGCGAGAGGGAGGTCAGGGGCAAGGGCGGGGGCGAAGAGAAGGAGGGGGCGGGCGTGGGAGGGGCGGCGGGCGGGGTGGCGTTCGTGATCAAGTGGGGGAGGGGGTTGTGGCGAATGCCACTGGGCGGGGTGCTGGTCGTGGTCGAGTGGTCGGAGGGGTAGTGGGGAATGCCAGCGTATCCAGGTCAGGGCGAATGCTGACGCCGGCACGCGTAGTCGACATGAAGGATTTTCTGTACCGATCCGAACTCAACCTAGTTTGATTCCAAATCGGTTGAAACCGCCCTTGGAATTGGCAAGGAGTCGGCAATCAAATGGTTGGAGTTTTTTTTTGGAGCGTCGAGCAGTTCTGCGATTGTACGAGGCCACGCTGTACTATACCGTTCTAGCGGTTTGAATCAGTTTCTGACTGGAAAAATCCGGGGATGTGACCACTCTGTCCCCGGTTGGGGTCTCCTCCCCCCCGTTTGNCAGGGCAGCGAGGGAGACTGCGAGCTTGGAACAGGGGGCAAACCGCGCAGGGCGTGGGCATGGGCAGGGAGGAGGGCGAGGCGACACAAGGGGTGAAGGCTCTAGTGGGCGGGGACNACCCTTGGAATTGGCAAGGAGTCGGCAATCAGGTGGTTAGAGTTTTTTTTGGAGCGTCGAGCAGTTCTGCGATTGTACGAGGCCACGCTGTACCGTTCTAGCGGTTTGAATCAGTTTCTGACTGGAAAACCCGGGGATGTGACCACTCTGTCCCCGGTTGGGGACTCCTCCCCCCCGTTTGTATTTACTTGCTCCTTGCTTTAGTGTCGAGGTCTGTGTCAAACGGCGAATCATGGGGTGAAAGCGAAGTAGAGAAAAACAGGAGATGCAGCGTCGTGCATATCGGGACTGGGGGTTGCCGTAGACGGACGCGAACACCGGTAAATGCACCCGCTTCTTACCGATCAACATGGCGTGCAAACTACCGTTTCATGTCGCGATTTTTTTGTAACGTCGTTGTAAACCAGTACCAACTCAATCCTGAACAATTGTTTTGACCTTACCCTGATTCATGGTCAATGCGCCCCTCAGCAAGCGATACTTGGGGTGTTTTTCCGTCCAAAAAGTTTGTTCAAAACCCGGGGATACGCCAATTTCATCCCCGCATACACTTTTTTTTTTTTGCTACGACTCATATTCATGAGGTGATTGACCATGACACCAAGTATCATGTCCTGAAACGTTGTTTAACGTGCATAATGTGGCTCTAACGCAAAGTGGGGTTTAATTGGCGGGGGGTGGTATTTTCGTTTTTTTCAGCTTCGAGGAGCCATGTATTGCACTGACTCCAACAGCACACAAACTCATTTGTTTTCAATTTTGTTTTTTCTACACTCAGATATTGGTGTTGGCTTTCGTTCAATACCTCGATTGTACTCTAGTTCAACCTTTTCACGAAGAACCAGCTTTTTCCGCACAGAGTGGCTTAAGTGGGGCTTAATAGGGACATCTACTCTAGAAGGGAAAGAACATAGGATGGTAAAAAAGATCGCGCCAAGGAGAATCGAATCTATTACCTTACAACTTCAATGAGCTAGAGTTGATGATGGTAGAGCGCTTTCAGTCCGAAAGTACCGGCCAAAACACCTTAGAATTTGGAGGCTACTCTTCGTCTTCAAGCTGGGGTGGGCAAGTGTGAGCGTGGTTGCTCATAGCCAGAGGTAGCGAGTTCGGTTCCCGCTAGCGCGACCTGCCCTTCCACCTTAATTTTTTTTCCCCGATTTTTTTCCCGTTGGGAAGAGCAATATCTTGCAGTACCGGCAGGTTGGCGGTAATTTCCCGACGTGGACCCTGCTTATTTCGCACGTGTCATAAGCTTTGTAGCTGTTATTCGTCTTTTGAGTTTTCAGAATATGCAACCTTTTGGGCTGTTTGACCACGAAATGGAGCCACCTCAATTGGGGCAGGTAAGGATTGTAGACTACAAGGTACAGCGCTGAGATCGGGACGATTTCTTGAGTGAACACCACAAAACAACATCACCAACAACGTCCCGGCTAGTTTGCGCGCCCCACAAGAAATGAAGCAGCATCCCACCCCTTCTTGTTCCCCTCGTTTCAAAAAATGGTTTGGCTTGTACAGTGCCGGCATTCGTCAGGCTGAATACGGGTGCTTTGAAAAAAAAATAACCTTCAACGAATTGAGCGGGACCAATATTCGTGAGAAAGCTCTCATCAGCAGCGATCGAATAAGCCCATCCACAGCGCGGGGTTTGGGCTTTCAAGAAAGATATGCCCCCATTACCATCATAGCAGAAGGCACTTCATCCCGCAAGAATCACCATATCTCAACAACTACAGCAAACCCCGCGAAAACAATTGCAGATTCGAAAAGCTCTCTTTCAGAACTAGTTTACTGCGGCGGAATCATCCCCGAGCTCGTTGATGAACATAAAAAAATCAGAACCACCAACATTATTTTTTTCGCCCACATCAGCCCCAACGGCTGCCACACATAAAGAGGTCGCGGTCCAAGCCCATGGCTCTTAAGCTGCGCGACAAGTCCCTGGCGACCATACTGGCAACATTGGCTCATCGTGGTGGTAAGCTGGTGAGTGTGCATCAGCACAAGGCTCCGAAGAAGTATCGTGTGCAACTGACGGCCCAAGTGCATGGATCCAGACAGCGCTGGTGCAGCCCATACATCAAGTTTCCGAAAGGCAGAACAACGGGTCGCGACTGGGCGGCCGAGGACCGGTGGGCTGCTACCTGGCGGCCATCCTCCTGTAACGGCAACGTGCCCCACAACGATGCAAGTGGAGGCGAAGCCGAAGCTGCGCCTCCCCGAGAAAAGCGGCCGCGGGACTGTCAACATGCTGCGGCATCCACCGGAGATGCACCGCCTGGAACGCGCGGCGGAGCACGCCCTGGAGCAGGCAGACCAAAGGGAAGCTACGGCANCCTGTAACGGCAACGTGCCCCACAACGATGCAAGTGGAGGCGAAGCCGAAGCTGCGCCTCCCCGAGAAAAGCGGCCGCGGGACTGTCAACATGCTGCGGCATCCACCGGAGATGCACCGCCTGGAACGCGCGGCGGAGCACGCCCTGGAGCAGGCAGACCAAAGGGAAGCTACGGCAGGAAGAGGCTTCCCCAAGCTGCGCAACAGCTCAATGATTATCTCGAGCGAGGGCAGCTCCAGTGTGCGCAGATGGTCTCGCGCGATCTTCCTGGAGCGATGTCGGATGCAGTGAAGGAGGCGCACCAGCAAGAAGAGGTCTATCGACCAGCGTNAGCGTTCCTCAAGCGCCAGAGCAACAGCAGGAAGGAGGCTCTTCGCAAGCTGACGAAGCATCGATCGCAGCTGGAAAAGGCGGCCGCAGCATCTGCTGCATGTAGATCGGGCTGGGAGCGGGGGCAGGATTATTTCCGCGCCGTCATCAAGGAATGCCAATCCGCTGTAGCAGTCACATCTGCTGGACTCAATGTAAGAGATGGGCTACACGATGCAGTGAAAATGTATGCATGCGTTGATCGCAGTTTTCGTGCTGCAAGCACTGCTGTTGGTTGTAATACTGTGCGGTTTTCGCTATGCTGCTCCTGCTGCTGCCGTATGTATTTGATGTGATGCCGCCCATGTACATGTCTGGGTGAAGTTGCGCACGACTGTTGGGCCGCAAGAACCACTCCGCCCCCACCCTTGTCTTTCATCCCCGCTGCTTGTCCCGATGATCTTACCATTGATTTTTCCCCCTTTCCTGCCTTACGTACATGCAGGAGTGTTCTCGTCTCGCATGCACAGGCCGGCAGCCTGCAGTTCAAGGCCTTGGCTCTGAAAGGACTGTACCACAAGCTGCTCAGGGGGGTGCCCAAGAGGCAAGCTTTCGAGGAAACGGCGGAGTTTTTTCAAGTGGCATCCAGCACCCTCCGTGAGTGGGAGCTTTCCTACCGCACCAAGGGCCATATCCAGGTGAGAGGAAATATGTACCAGGCATCCGTTTCAATCGCAATGAAAGATGTGCGTGCCGTAGACTCTGTATGTGGCGATGAACATAAAATAGTACTGCTGTAGCTCAATAAGCTCGCCGGCCGTTGCTGTGAACATGCTCCCTCCGTGCCACGCATGCGCTATTGCTCCCTTTCCATCCCTCACTCGTGCATGCTTTTGAGCCACCCTTTCCCTTGTCCTTGACAATGCGGTGTCCTTTGTCGCGTGCACCCTTGCTGTATTTGAAGGTGGACCAGAGGGGGAAACACGAACGGCGGTGGATCCTGAGCTTGGACGAGGGTCTTCTCGTGATGGTACGTCAATCGATCCGCGTCAACTCTATCAAAAATGGGGAGCNCCTTTTTCTCGACATTGCGGTGTTCTTTGTCGCGTGCACCCTTGCTGTATTTGAAGGTGGACCAGAGGGGGAAACACGAACGGCGGTGGATCCTGAGCTTGGACGAGGGTCTTCTCGTGATGGTACACCAATGGATCCGCGTATCAAAAATGGGGAGCCCAACATGACAGCCGAGCGAGGGGTTCCACGAGTACCTCAACAAGGACGTCTTGCCACAGGTAGCAGACACCAAAACGTGCGACTACGACCCCTTCAAGCACGCTCCTGTCACCAAGACGACGACTGAAACGGCATCAGGAGAGAAAGTGGTGTCGTACTCGGTGACCGTTCGCACGGCGCGCTCCTGGCTGCACAAGCTGGGGTGCGAGTACCGCGATCGCAAGTCGGGCCNCGTACTCGGTGACCGTTCGCACGGCGCGCTCCTGGCTGCACAAGCTGGGGTGCGAGTACCACGATCGCAAGTCGGGCCGGTACTTTGGCGGCCATGACCGCGAAGACGTGCTCGCGTACCGGGTCAAGAAGTACCTCCCGGCGTACTTTGAGCACCGCGACTACAGTAGAGCTAGTGTGGGGTAGATCCAAGTATTGGGTCCGGCAGCACTGTAAGTACACTATCGCGTGCTTGCGGACCAATGTTTCTAAGAGCTACGCGGTGGCCGAAGCCCGCTTGAGTCTAGCAATTATACAAAAGTTCTGCAGGACGGTGGCCAACTTCAACGAGGTGTACCGCGACGGACTCCAGGGCGCGGAAGCAGTACAGAAGAGGGACACCTTTAACTCTCACCGCAAGCCGGCTCCGTCAGAGTACATTAACCCTAAGTGATGTACACGTTTATTCTGTGTTGTGTGGCGTTGAAGAGTACGTACGTAATATGTCGACATGGGTGTATCAATAGGTTACGAATTCACCGACGAACTAGCGACGCACGCTGCAGGAGGGAGGCATGGAGGAACGATGACCCAGAAAGGAGTCTACAAGGAGAGGCTACTTCAGGTCGTTTCGGTGGCTACGCAGGTGGCCATATCAAGGAGGGTATAAAGATACAAGCTCGCACTACGTGGACGACAAGAAGCGGAGGACCAACGAACAAGATCGTCACCGAACACATCGACACCAATGATTTGGGGATGTAGTGTCGTCGATGCACTGTAATAGTAGGAATGTAATGGATTATCTTATGAGCGTAGGTATAGTTGTTACAAAGCATTTGGTGGGTACATCACATATACTAAAAGAAATGTCGTTTTCGTAGTAGATTATGTTCACAAGATTTCGGTTAAACGACAGGAACATCTTGTCATAGTATTGGAGAGACAAGGTTTTGGCATTTTCACAACGGACGTAACAGGAGAACGGAGGAAATGTTGAATTCAATCAAGAATGTTGTGATTTCCTCCAGTTTTAAGTTCGGCATTGGTAGCTTCGTACTAACATGACGTGCATGTACAATATCGTATTCGTACAAGTATGAGTATGAAGATAGAAATAGTAAGGGGTATACATTGAGTGAAACGTTTTAGGACTTTTGTGCTAACATCTTCAAATGTCGGAGGGCAATAATAATAATTATGGGTTATTATCTGGCTGCATGTTGTTGTCAGTGGCGTTGTTGCAGTGCGTGGTGTATTGTTTTGTTCCCCCTTTGCGTTGGCGGATTCTCTGCGTGCTACAGTATGTATGGCCGTGCGTATAACGTTCAGTAGTGGCAAAAATGAAGAGTGCAACGTGCGTGAGTATCGTGGGGTCATTGTACAGAAGGGCCTCCAGTCGATTGACGTAATCAAACATAGATAAGAAACAAGCCCGGAGCCATGCTACGGTAGGGGGGTCACGTTTTTGGGCCCATATTACACTGCCGCTTCGTTATCCGTGTCATTTGCTATGTAGTAGGCACGGTTGCTGCTACTTGTTTCCNGCGTTGGCGGATTCTCTGCGTGCTACAGTATGTATGGCCGTGCGTATAACGTTCAGTAGTGGCAAAAATGAAGAGTGCAACGTGCGTGAGTATCGTGGGGTCATTGTACAGAAGGGCCTCCAGTCGATTGACGTAATCAAACATAGATAAGAAACAAGCCCGGAGCCATGCTACGGTAGGGGGGTCACGTTTTTGGGCCCATATTACACTGCCGCTTCGTTATCCGTGTCATTTGCTATGTAGTAGGCACGGTTGCTGCTACTTGTTTCCGAGTAGCTGCTCTACCCTATTCTGCCCGCTATGCAGGAAACCCGGTGCGCATGTGCCACATTTCCTGTCCGGCCCCAGGAAGGCGCCATATATACACATGTCAACATTTTTTTCATGAGTATCTTCGTTTTTCGGGGTGAACAGGACGTCGCTGCTGCGGCGCCTGAGCGGTGAGTGCGCGATTGACGCGAAGGTTGGCCGCAGGACTGTGCTGACCAAAGCGGAGGAAGATGCGATGGACAATGTCCTGCTGTACGCTGATCGGAACTGTAGTCCTCTCACCAGGGCAGACCTCCAAGAGCGTGTGAGACAGCTCTGCAACGACGGTCGGCCGATCCTGTGGGACCCGGACAAGGGCCCGGGGAAGGCCTGGCTCTCTGGTTTCCTCGGAAGGCACGAGCGCCTCAGCCTTCGACTCGCCCGCATATACGAGGCCAACAAGATGACCTCTCCGGAAGATGAGCGTGTGCACAAGTTCTAGTCTACGACTTCTGGCGCAGTTCGTCGACGAGCACAAGCCCACAGGTGGCCAGTGGGCACGGTTGTACAGGGGCGTTGTGTAACCTCCGGCCAACCAGGGGTTATTACATGGGATAACGTGGGGGGGTTACAGGCCGAGCGAGCATAACGTACCAGGTTATGAAAGCGGTCGTGCGCGGATTGGTGTGAATGAAGGAGAAAAGAATAAGCTATGAGTGACCCTTCCCCTCCATTGCTACATTGTGCTCAACCCGTAATTGGGTTATACTTACGCAGCTCCTCGCTCGGCACTACTTACTCTACGTCGAATTGACCGGGCCAGAAAACATTACATGGGGTGGATCGAACTGTTGGGGTGTTTGCTGTGCAAGACCGACTCTATTCTGCTGTATGTGTTTGATACGGTATTATTGTGAAGGCGTTCTGTTTTACTGTAACCGTCAGGTGCAGACAGTCCACGCGTCTGTGTGTGGATAATAAATCACCCTTTTTGTTTTCTCTACCAAGCCTCTACCACATACGCCAACCAGCGTACTACAGCTGTGGTACCGCCCAACAGGTTTTGAGCCACGTATAGCGAGGTAGGGAATCATCTCGAGTCAAATGGCGTCATCAGCGCAACAGCAGTCGTCAAATCATCTGCAGCGCGGATATGTCGCGTTCAGCGGAGAACCCGGCCAGTTTTTCGGTTGGGTCTCGCTTTTCCGTGCGCTGATGTACGAGGCAGACCTAGGTCGGGTCATGTCTGGAGCGGAGAAGGCTCCCACGGTGGCGGAGGATGCCGACGCCGCAGCGACCGCGACGTACGAGAGGAAGCTACAAAAGTTCCAAGAAAAGAATGGCAAACTCTACACGCGGCTTCTGCTGGCTACGTCGGACTGCCCGGAAGGATACTCGAGCCCGGCTTCGCAGGTAGTGCAGTCGTTTGGGCCTGTCGGGGACGAGGAGTTCGGTGACGGTCGAAGTGCTTTTGTAGCGCTCGAGCAAAAGTACCGTGTCGATGGGACTTTCAGAATGCAGCAGCTACACGATGAGTTGGCCGCCGTCGCGGTCACCGCTGCTGACAAGTACGATCCGGCTCGCGCAATCCAACAATTGCGCCGCATCTTTCACGAACTCGGCAAACTCGGAGACACAGTCGTGAAACAACGGCAAGCACATGCCATCCTAAAGGCCCTGCCCGACAAGCAATACGGCTCGTTCAAGACTGTACTGTTGGTAGAGTCGCCCACTGTTGGTAGCGGTGCGCTAGGCTTCGACGATATCGCACGTCGTGCCACACTCTACCACGCAATGCAAATTCGCGGAAAAGTGCTCGACCAAGACGATGGGTCGGGCAGCCACGGCCGTGCGTTGAACACTGTCACGCACGGAGGGGCACGTGGCTTCCGCAAGCACGGCGGCCGTGGTGGTCGTGGTGGTCGCCGAGGAAATGGCGGCAGAACTACAAACGGTTCGACGAACGGCTCGTCGAATGGGAACTACAGCAGCGGCGGCGGATCGGCCGGCAACGCTGGAGGCGGCAGCGCGGGAAATGCGCAAGGTGCTCGCGGGAATTATCGCGGCAACAACGCCTCCGGTGGCCGAGGTAAGGGCCAGGACACCGGTCGGAACCGAAAAGGGCGCTGCCGCTACTGTCATAATTCGACAGAGCACGGGTGGCACAACTGCCCGCTCCGCCTGAGGCACGAGGCGGAGGAAGCCACTGAACAGGCTGATACTCACCACACTCAAGACTCCACCACTCAGGCATGGTTCACGCGGGTGGAGACTGAAGGCGATGTGCTGGAGGACTACGCCATCTCTTTCGGAAAAGACGTGCAGGTGCAGGATGCGCCTGCTGCGGCGCAGCCAGAGGAGCGCGCTGCTGGTGACACGCTGGTGCAAGACGCGCCGGTGCCGACGCTGCAGGATGCACGCGTTGTGTATGACCCGCAGGTACTGGACACACCTGCTGCAGCGGTGGTCTATGACCCTGCTGCCAACGGATATTCTCAGACGGAGGAGGCGCCTGAGGACACCGAGCTCGTTGCGTTCAGCAGCGTGTTTCAGGTGGACAAAGAGAAACCGCAGGTCGTTGATGATTCCGCCTGCTACATTGATTCCGCCGCGTCCAGCCACATGGTGGATGAGCAGTCTCGCTTGTCCCATCACGTCCTCAATCCGGTAGATTGCGCTGTGCGCATTATCGGGTCGTGTGGCACATCCGACGCAACCAAGAAAGGTACCCTGAAGTTTGGGGTGCGCAATGATCAAGACCAAGTCGTGCGAGTAGCTCTGGAGGTTCTGCTGGTTCGGGGCCTTGGAGCGAACATACTTTCGGTTGGAGCGCTGGCCGAGAAGGGGGTGATGTGTGATCTGATGTCTACCCCGCCGGCGCTTCGCATGGGCAACCAGGTCTTTCCGATCTCGACCGCAGTGCCTCGCATGTACGTGCTGAATGTCATCATCGACGACGTCAACCTGGGCGCTGTAGAAGTAAATCGCACGAAGGTAGACGCTCACCTGTGGCACCGGAGGATGGGCCACTGCAACTCGCGAGCGCTGCAGCAGCTGGCGGACAAGGACACTACCGGAATCAGGTTCAATCGCAACATCGAACCAGGTGACTGCGGTGTTTGTGCGGTTGGTGACAGTAAGAAGGGCAGCCACCCCCCGTCTAACCGTCCCCTCTCGGAGACTCGGCTGGAAATTCTAAATGCCGATACGTGGGGGAAACATCCTATTGCTACATACGGGGGTTGCCAGAGTGCCGTGATGTTTACTGATGACGCTACTCGCATGAGGTTCGGCTACCTACTCAAGACGAAAGACGAAACGGCCGAAGCTCTTCAAACTCTGGTTCGGGACGAGGCCGACCCGCTTGGTCAGAGCATCGGCACGGTGCACTGCGACGGGGGAGCGGAGTATTTGGGCAAGTTTCTGGCGCTATGTAAGTCGCTCGGAATCAAGCTCACGAATAGCCCCCCCTATGTCCCGCAAGGGAACCCCATCGCCGAGCGTGGATTTGGTACCATCATCGGCACTGCCCGCAAGCTTCTCTTGGGAGCACCGCACCTTCCTCAACAGCTGTGGGGGGAGGCTTTCATGACTGCAATCTACCTCAAGAATCGGACCCCGACCGAAGTCCTGGGCGGCAAGGCACCACTCGAGGTATGGGAGGGGAAGCCGCTCGGAAAGATGCTTCACATCCACGAGTGGGGGTCGCTGGCTTTTAAGCACGGAGAGGTACGCACCCGGTCGAACAAGTTGGCGGCCAGGGCCAAAAAAATGTACCTAGTAGGCTACAGCTCCAAGGGTAGGTCGTATCGACTTTGGGGCCCTTCGGAGCCTCTCAAAATCACCAACTCCGTGGAGGTATCGTTCCGTGAGAAGGAGATGCGCGACGTGATCAAGCCCAAACTAGGGCAAGA